ACACACACAGACACACACACTGTGGTGACAACTGACGGAGCACTGGACCTGAAAACGAGCTGTGTGTGTTTGTACATGTGTGTATTTTGTCGTCCTCTTAGTCGTCTGCCAACACAATCTGCCTCTGAGCCCTGCAGCTGACAAACTGCCCCGGGCCTCAGCACACCGGCCACTACACACACACACACACACACACACACACACACACACACACACACACACACACAGAGGCCCTGGTGTAACATCTGGCTTCATTGTCGGCCATATTTGCCCAGGGATGGGCGCCTGTGGCCGGCGCTCTGGCCGCCATCGTGCCAACACTGTTGTTATTTTCCTAATAATGCCCATTCATCATCTGCTGTCATGACAACACACACGTGCTCAGGTGTGTGTTTAGATGAAGACGCACTCGAAAGTTTTGAACGATTGAAATAGTTCATGTAGAATCTCCAGTGACCATCACGACTCAAACTCATGTTATCCAGAGTGTTGCTGGGAGCTCCCTCACCTGAAGGAGTCGGACTCGGCGTCGTGGCTGTTGTCGTGTGTGTAACACACTCTGTGGGCGGCGACGTCCAGCTGCGTGAAGCTGGTCAGCGGGACCCCGGGCCGCCGGACGGCGTGGACGAGGCCGCGGCGTGGCGGGACCGACACAGTGTAAACAAGCTCCTCTGGACGACCCGCCGTGTCCGACGCCAGCAGGATGTCGGTGTTCAGGACGACCCGCTGCCCCTCCCTCAGATGCACTGCCTTGCTCAGTAGCACGATGTCACCTGGAGGCCGACAAAGGTCAAAGGTCAGAGCATCAGCGTGAGTTAAATAAAGCAGAGCGCTGTAACTCTACATTTCATTCACTGAAGCTTTTATCAAAGTGACAATAACTTTTATTCAGCTTTTAATTCAGGACTTGATTGAGATTCTTATGACTGAACTAAAATGTAAACATCAAAACAGGCTGAAGCTTGGAGTGATGGAGGAGGAGGAGGAGGAGGAGGAGGAGGAGGAGGAGCACCCAGAGGAGACGAGCCAACGCCCCTCCACAGCTGCTCCACCTCTCCTCCGTTAATTATTCACTGGCTGAGGAGGTCGGCCGTTTCTCACCTCCGCTCCTCCAGGATCAGAGGGCCCGGAGCCAGAAGGGCCGAGGCCTCGCAGCACCGTGTTCACCCGACTGGCAAAGCTGGAGGGGGGGGGGCCTCAATAATGAATGAAGCCGGGCGGAGGTGTGTGAAGGTGTAAACACGGACATTTGTTTGTGTGCCAGGACGTCACTGTTGTTGTCATGTGAAGAACATTGTAACTTCAGTCTTTTTATAATCCGAGCACCTCCTCCTCCTCCTCCTCCTCCTCTTCATGCTCCTCTTCCTCCTCTGCTTCGTTTTAAAAGCAGCTGACGTCAGATGTTTCAGGAATTAACTTTTGAATCAGTTTAACTTTAGTTCCCTCACTAACGTGCTCAGCGAGGATGAAGGAACATGGTAAACTTCATTACCTCCACATTAACATTTCAGCATTCGGCTCCACAGTCTCTATGATTCATTCATTTTGAGTTTGACCCCGCCCCCCACGCCTGACCTCTGACCTTTGTGCACAGTTTGGACGGAGATGAAGAAGCTCTGAGCAGGAGACTCGTTCTCCAGGTCGCTGAGGGTGAAGCGGAAGCTGTCGTGACCTTTGAAGGCGGCGGCGTTGGCGCGGCTGTTGTGTTGGTACCACAGACGGTTCAGCTCCACGTCGTCCTGAGTGAAGTTCTGAGCGGCCGACAGCTCGGTCCAACCCGACCCCGTCTGCAGAGCGACACAGAACCGACACAGACGCCGGGTGAGTCCTGAGCTAACACACTTTAAACTGACCTCAGGTCAGACACTTGGTGAACGTCAGCATGAAGAAGACGAAGCTGCAGGTTTATTACAAACAGTTTGAGTCTGTGAGACGTAGCTTAGCAACGCAGACAGTTCTTTCGTCTTTTAACATAAAGACGTCTTAAACCTTCATCCTCCACACACACACACACACACACACACACACACACACACACACACACACACACACACACACACACACACACCTTGAGCTGCAGTGTTCCAAACCGCGGTGCAGCGTTGATGTAGAAGTACACCTGGTTCAGGGGCGTGTCCATGTCCTCGGCCTCCAGAGCTACACTTGAAATCACCCTACGCTCGCCAGAGTCCACCTCCAACCCAGAATTCCTGGGACACCAACGAAGAAGAAACTGTGATTAAAATATATTCACAGTACATTTAGGACAAGGGGACAAGCTTTAGACAAGTATTCACGTTTGTCGAAGTAAATAAAGACGGACAACACGTCTCCACGTCTCCACTCGGGAGGAAAATGAAGCCAAAATATCTCAGATACAAACGCTGCCATCTTGTGGTGATGATGCCATTTGGAGTGAAGCCGTGGTATCGAAGTCCCGCCCATACCCACGCTTGACCAATCCTGAGTCAGTTCCAGCTGTCAATCATGACGTCTCTGTTTTTATATAATAAATGAACCAAACTGATCAGACACTTGAACAATCAGAGAGATGAGGACGAGCGGAAACGACAGAAACATCTTTAAACATTTATTTAACGTCTACTTTGAGTTTTTAGTTTGGTCCCATTTGCTAACATGGAGGAGACAACCAGGGGGACAATCACTATGGGAGCTGTCATATCGTCCATCTGAGTCCAGTGTTCACTTTCATCTCTGTGTTTGATGTCCACCTGTCCAGGTAGAGGGCGGAGCCTTTTCTTCAGACACTCGATGGACAGAGATCAAATCAAAAGGACAGAATCAAACCATCCTTTAAATGAGTTCTGAACAAGAGGAACCGTTTGATTTTCCAAACACAACCTGCAGCTGCAGCAGAAGTTGAAAACTTGAGTGAGAGCAGGTTTTTCCAGGAGGGATCATGGGAGATCTGTGGTGGTGGACGTGGTGTTGGGACGGGAGGGGGGGGGGGGCGGCTGAACATCAGAAACCGTCTGGCTGCTTCTTCACTCGGAACTAAAATCCACGCAGGACAGAAGCTGCCACGTCCGTCCTGCAGGAACGCAAAAACAAGGAGGCCGGCATCTGCCAAGTCTCTGCGTTACTTCCGCCCCGGCGGCCTTTACAGTACCAGCTCGGCCAACGCACCCACGCACGCCGACAACTGATCTGGGGACAGTGTGGAGGTGGTGGTGGTGGGGGGGTGATGATGGGACGGCATGAGGAACCCAGTGAAGGATGCAAAAACCCAATCACTCGTTCAAATGAACGGGGGGGGGGGGGGGGGGGGGGGTTGTCCTCTGTTAACACCAGGTCACCACCATCCCTCCTCCCCCATCCCCCTCCCCCCTCCGGCTCATGTTGACTCCACAGCAGCAGTTTGAATGACGATATTAAAGCAGCTCAGTCCCTGTTGGAAACGTGTGTGTCTGTGAAGTTGTGTTCTCTTGTTATTGTATTATATAGTAAAGTTGTGTGTCTGTGAAGTTGTGTTCTCTTGTCCTGTGTTGATGCTTCAGAGTTTCAGAGACCCAGTCACGACCTGTCAAAATAAAAGCTCTGAAATTGAGCATGACATAAACGCAGCAGCAACAATATGAGCGTTGTGCTTTTACTTTGTAGAAGTTGCCCAACAGGAACAGATTATATGAATGTGGTAACAAAGATCAACACCAGAGAGTCGAAGATGTTTCAGCCGTTCTTCTCTCCGATGTTCGTTCAAGAGTTTCTTTAGATTATTTGATGATAGAAAAACAGGCGGAGACGTAATGATTGACAGCTGACACTGACTCCTGATTGGTCCTTGATACCACGCCTCCACTCTACAATCACTACTGCGCAGACTCCGAATGCCGTCATCACCACAAGATGGCAGCACTTGTATCGGAGATAATTACGCTCATCAGATTTATTTTGATTCAAAAGTTATAACTCAGAGTCGGTGTGATGAGAATCTGAAGAAGAAGAAACTTCACCATGGAGTCGTCTTTGTTTTTATTATTTTCAATTAGTATGTGAACAAATGTGTGTGTGTGTGTGTGTGTGC